GCCATCTCAGTCGCAAGGCGCGAGCAAACTTGGCGGTGTTAAGGACTCCAAGGCCACCGTACTCCGATGGGCGGCAGACAATATTCCAATTAACCTTGCACTTTGCTCCCGTGGTCTTATCCGACCCGGACCACAGGAAAGCACGCTCCAGCTTGTTCACATTTTGCAAGATGGACGGAGGGACAATCAAGGAGGTGATGAAGTAGACCGCAAGTGAGGAGATGACCGATTTTACTAATGTCGTGCGCCCAATGGTAGTAATGTTCTGCCCCTCATACGTAACCAATTTGCTCGCCACCTTGTCTTCAAGAAATTGGAAATCCGCCTTTCTCAGCTGCCAGACGGATAGCGGGAGGCCTAAGTACCGTAGAGGGAAGGAAGCCACAGTGGCCGGCATGCTTTGCAGAATGTGTCCCAAGTTAAGGTTATTGCACCGGATAGGCACAACGGAGCTCTTGTGAAAGTTGGTGCATAGCTCGGTGACCTCCCCAAAACCACGTAAAATTGCCGAGAAGATGTCAATGTCTTTTTTTATAGGGGCCATGAACACCGCGGCATCATCCGCATAAAGCGAGGTACGCACCATGACACCTCTTCCACGGATCCGGTGGAGCAATTTCTTGCGGGTAGCCAAGTCAAGGAGCCGTTGTAGCGGATCAATGGCGATGACGAATAGCAACGGTGAAATTGGGTCCCCCTGGCGAAGGCCCTGACCGTGAATGATTGGCGGGCCGGGCACACCATTTAGGATGATCCTCGAGGAAGAGGAGCAAAGAAGCGCCGCAATCCAGTTACGAAATTTGCATGGGAACCCACGGCGTCGGAGGAGGTCCAGCACATACTCCCATCTGACCGAATCAAATGCCTTTCGGATGTCAAGCTTGAACAGGAGCGACGGAGTCTTGCACTTATGGAGCCGACGGAAGCTTGAACATTTGGATTTACAGTAGACTTGGTTCTTTGACCTTTCTTCTGTGATTATCTTGAGCTAAAATTGTATCATGTTGATGAAAGTTATAACATACTTATAATACTGTCACACCACTGACAGTTTGTGGGTCAGTCTAATTAATGTGCTTTTGTGCATTGGGTACATTTCTGTCATTTGTCATCTTGGACAATGCTTGCTAACTGGATGCACTTTCTGCAGATAATATTTCTGGAGACAATATGTAATGATCGAAACATAATCGAAAGGAATGTACGCCTGAAAATTCAGCAAAGCCCTGATTATGCTGACCAGTTAGAAACCGACAATCCCTCAAAACTCGCCCTGTACTTACAAATATAATATGCATAACCTTATTTCTGTGTAAAATTTTGTAGGCCGGATTATGAAGCTGGATTGCAGGACTTCCTTGAACGTTTGACAAATTATGAAAAGGTCTCAATGCTCTGCGAGTTATATTATGTTCTAGTAGTGCATGCGTTGTCAAGTAAAGTTCTTGAGCTCTCTGAACTACTTAATATTGAACCAAGTAGTATTCCTCTTGCAGGTCTACGAGCCAGTGCAGGAAGGCTCATATATCAAAATGATTGATATGGTAAAAGGGGAGGGTGGCCAGTTACAGGTAACAAAGATGATACTACTGGCTATCTCCTATTCTTGTAAAAAGGGTGGCTAGGTTTCCAGTTATACCTTTAAGTGTTCTAGGGTTGGTTCCTCTTTATAACTGGGAAAACTAGGTTCTTTACACAAAACCGAGCATTTTGGTTGAGTTTTGTCATCGTGGGCTTGTAACTTTTGAAACTTAGCATTCTAAATTTGTTTGGTACTTGTTTCTTTGAATTTCTAACTTCTTGCCACCTTGTACCAGGTGAACAATATCAGTGGCTATCTCCCTGGGCGTATTGTCTTTTTCTTGGTATGTACTTCAATGCTTAGTTTCTTACAGTGTAAATAGTCAACTGCCGTTTCGGACGCAAGTATAATATCTTCCCATTATGGAAATGCTCATATTTTGTGGTTGCTTCAAAGTTTATTTGAAGTGTTAACAATGGAGTGGCATTAGTGCACTTTTAATTTGTGACACATCCTTCCTTAATATGCAACTGCAGGTGAATTCTCATCTTGCGCCTCGGCCTATTTTGCTTACCAGGCATGGTGAGAGTTTACACAATGTTAGAGGAAGAGTTGGTGGTGACACGGTGCTAAGGTTTGCTTCTCTAATCTGATACCTTCCAATGATACCTTTATATGCTTAAGTCACCATTTTTAAGTTATTGAAGTAACAGGCAAGTGGTAACATATATGGAAATTTTACATTAGAAATTTTGATTATTTTAAAGAGGGCAGGCCTGGCGCAGTGGTGAAGTCCTCCCCACTTGTGCCAAGAGGTCCTGGGTTCGAACCAGCCTCTCTGCATTGCACTTTGCAGGGGTAAGACTAGGTTCCTATAATCCCTCCCCAGACCCCACGTTGTGTGGGAGCTTCTATGCACTGGGTCTGTCCTTTTTAATTTTGATTATTTTATTTGTCAAGAAAGCATGGGTAGAATCATTCCTCTTATGGGAATTAGCCTATTGTATTCACCTAATGAAGACCACTTCAACCTGCCTGATAATTATGCAGTGAAGACGGAGAGCTTTACTCAAAGAAACTAGCCAACTTTATTGAAAAGCGCCTCAAAAATGAGAAAACTGCAACTGTAAGTAATCCCCTTAAATTTAGTTACACTATTTTACAAGGGCAACTTAGTGTTGTCAATATTTTACTTAAGAAATAGATGGTGTCTGTGATCCTATCAAGTGAGCTAACAGAGCAAGATGCTTTATTTTGTGGCTGTCCTGTTGTTTAGATTTGGACTAGCACTCTACAGAGAACAATTTTGACAGCAACTCCAATTGTTGGATTCCCAAAGGTAGTTCCTTGAAAGTTTGTGAGTTCTCTTATGGACCTGTTGCTACCTATGTATACTGACATAGGTTCAACCTTGTAGATACAATGGCGTGCTCTTGATGAGATCAATTCTGGTGTATGTGATGGGATGACGTATGAAGAGATAAAGAAAATTATGCCTGAGGAATATGAGTATGTAGTAACATTTCTCTGCGACTTTCACAACAAGTGTTCTGGAATATCTTATTGGTAGTTTATGTACAGTGTCATGCCATTTTGCTAATTACCATGCCACAAAGCTACATTGTTTTCCCTATTAATCATGGCATGCTAAAATGTAGAAGTTACATTAGACATTTAGACATATCTGAGTTGCTAAACTGAGCGGACCTGTATATTGCATGATTTCTTCCACAATATTTTGGCCTTTACATATTTATTGAATATATATTATTCGAACATGCTGTTATGATGGTTTTGTAATGCGTGCTGCAACTTGCAACCAGGTCACGCAAGAAGGACAAGCTGCGTTATCGGTACCCACGTGGGGAGTCTTACCTTGATGTGATTCAGAGGTAAAACAATCTGCTGAATTATTCA